CCAGTCATTAATAATAATAGACCATTGAACCATAAATTGTAATCTTAATGATTCAACGAACAAACGTAATAGTGACATAACATAATGAATTTAATGTTGTTTCTCTACAGTTTATTATACCATGAGAATTTTTGTAGACATCTTTCATTTTTGTTTTAAATATAATAACAAACCATATAAAAGAAAAAACGTAAATTTATGTTCCGTTATCCTATTGGTTCAATCGATCGTTGTTACTCAGCGTTTTCTGTTGGACACCTCAAAACAAGTCGTTATGGATGCAAGCTCGGGCTTCCACCTTCTGGCTCCATAAAAACAGTATATAAAGTATAGCTTCGCCCGTGTGTACATCGGTTGTTGCGATAAAAAGCAACATATGCTATACGCTGACAATGTTGCTTTTCATTGGTGAAAGAATTTTAAAAATCAGTTAAGTGGTTTAGGCGTAACAAAGAAACAAACTCATTTTGCCATTTATATATTAACTTTATGATTCATCATCATCATCATCATCATCAACAGCCTTTACTAGTCCACTGCTGGACATAGCCCTCTCCTTAGGAAGGAAGTTTTGGCCTACTATACCACGCTGGCCAGACGGGTTGGTATAGGGTTTGTTTCAAGTTTTCCTTCTCTCTACAGTGCTGTTGTCCTGCGTAGTTTGCTTCCTTAGTCATCTCTTACGACACTCACGGGATGATTAGGGGTGGTGACACAATGTATTCTTAATCCGTCACTACACGGACGAACTTTATGATTGACTTCTAAAAAAATGGTAACTGAAATGTATATCATAATTACACTTAACGCCTATAAATATTAAGACGTTTCGTATTCTGAAAACGTAGTTCTTGACAGGACTAAACTAATATTTTAATTTCTGAAATTAAACTCCGACAAACAGTTCGAAACTTTTCATTGAACCTTTCGAAACGTATAATCTCCAGATTTAGTCTCTAGTAGTGACAAACCATGCCTAAAAAAGCTTTATCCACGAATCCTATTTTGGTGTAAGATTCTGTCGTCGATTCACTCAATAATGAAACGTTCGTAGCGAAAAGGTTCTGTCGTTGATTAGGTCTCATATAAAAAGTTTTGTCGGCGAATCGTTCGTATTTGAAAGTTTCTGTCGTTAAACAACTCATAAACGAAACATTCTGCCGGCGACTCATTCGACACCGGAATTTTTGTCGTAGTTTAATTTCAGAATCATTTTTTTGTTATTTTTAGTTTAGTTTAGAGAGTTTTTGAACAACAGAATTAGCACCACTGACTAATTTCCTTACAAAATACGCCCAATTTTCGTTTTACCCCAAAGTGTCGTCAGTAGGCATTGCCATGCATTATACAAATGGCACTTTAATTATTATTGGTTAGTCTATATGAGAAATCTATATGTCTAAATAAAACAAACACATAAATAAAAATTAAATTTAAAATAGTCATATGCTCATCACCTCATATTCAGATCCTCTCTGTTCTTCTCTCAATCCTAATTGGGTACAGCGCAATGATTATGTATGGCATAGGGTTTCAGCTCTCTTTTATAACCTGTAAATATCAGACGGAAAAATGGAAAGAAATATCAATTGAGATAAAGAAAACTGATGAGATGAGAAAGCTGAGTTGAGAATACTGGAAATCTCGGATGGGAAACCGGACTAAGAGACTACAATAGTAAGCTTACCCAGCATATGTATCTCTTGTGAGCTGAGAAACCACTGGGACACCAACTCTTCATGTTCTTGTATTAATAAACATACACGCAATGTTTGTACATGAGTTAGGGCGCAGGCTGAACAAAGTGACTGGTGACTCCCGCTCAGGGTGGTTCCTGGTGCAGAGGTTTGCCGTGGCCATTTAGTGTGGGAACGCAGCTAGCGTTATGGGCACCTTTGCGCCGGGGCGACCAGGGGTGGGTTATTTAATATCTAGAGAATTTTAGTTTTAGTTACTAGGAATCAATCAGTGTAGTTTATGATTAATAAATGTTAGTGTCTAAATAAAAAAAAAGAAAATTGAAAAAAAAACATAATTAAACATGCTACTTGACTGCACGGATGGCGTAGTGGTTTAAGCACATGGGACGACACTTTGTGTAATCCACAATTTGTTGTTCTGAGTCTGGGTGTTCTTTGTGTCCGTTACATGTATGTTTGTAAAGTCCCCCGCGACACAGGATATATTCCTAATGCGGGAGTTGTCTTTTTTAAAAGAAAAAAATTTATTAAAAAAACCGACTGTGTAAAAATGTCTATACTTTTCACATAGTCGGGTTTTTAGGTATGTACTTTACTCGTAGTACTCAGGTACGTGGTACTTAGGTACTTAAAATTTAATTTATATTTTTTATTTATGATTTTAGTTTTAGTTCATATAATTTTCATAATAATATGTCACTCTCACAAATAAGAGGAATCTAATGACACCACACAAGCCAAAACCCATCAAGTAATTTAGACTACAAAGCGTGAAAAAAAAATACACATACACACTAGCATTTGTATTATCTGACAAATAAATATTATTATTATTAAAAACACTCGAAAATGTAACCTCCCTCTGCCTCAGTCGCGTAAAAAGAAATTTGTAATTCAAACAACATAAATAACCATTGGAATACGAACTTAATAACATAATGGAATAATATTCTTACCGGTTACACCAAAGTTATTACTGCTATAGTTACGTGACGTAATAACACACTATTCGAGAAAGTTGTAGTAGATTTTTTAATTATACGGCTCTAGTTTTGCTACTAAAATGGATCTACAAATTATGGAGAAACTTAAATAAACGGTTTTACGTAGTTTTTGTACCAGACACCGTAATTAGAATCGTGTTTCGTGAATGTTCAATTAAAAACTTAGAGACAAAAAATTGAAGTTATGAACTGGCTTATTATTAAACATCCTAATCTAAACAAACGTGAGTTATTCTGTTTGTTTGTTTGTTTCGCTTTCAAGCCTAAATTACTCGACTGATAATCGTGATAACATGCGTTACATGTGTTGCACGTTGAAAGTGATACAACATAACAAAGTGCAGGTACGATTTCTATTCAAATCGGAGTTACCTACTGAGGTACTTGTTCCACCCTACATAGGGGCACGGTCGCACAGTACTATCAGTTTCACACAGCCGCGATTTTTACACGCTTGTTTGTTTGTAACCGACTCCTTTGGGCGTCATTTTGACTGACCTTAAACGGTCAGAATTCGTTCAAACTTTGTAAATATATCGAGTTAATTTAAAATAAAAAATAAAAATAAATAATATTAAAAAAAAAAGCAAGGTTTCAAATCGGATCTACCTACTAAGGTACCAGTTCTACCCTACATAAGAGTACTGTCGCACAGTACTACCAGTCTAGTCCCTCCCCTCCTCCTCGCTTCGGTTGCCTCAATGCTGAGGGTCGTGACCGCTTCCTCGCAGTAAAAGTTTGCTGTGGATCACTCGATGCCACCCGCTCCTATCCGCCGCCGAGTGTAGAGCATCGTGGACTGTGGTGTCGAGAATAGTGCGGATCTGGTCTAGTACTGTTTGATTAAAACTTATTCATAAAACTTGAAAGAAGATAAAAAATTATACGAGTAGATAGGGAAAGGATTTTTTCCTCCTATTATAAGAAACATTTCAACCACTAACCAATTTCACTGTAAAAGGTTTTTCATACACAAGAATAAAAAAGACGTATGGCACTCTTGGACTGCCGTGGTAAAGCTATTGCATAGCATTTTTTATCAACTTATGCAATTATAATTATTTATTTATTTTATTTATGCAGTATTTTTTTTCCTTTGTTTTTTTTTTCTTTGATATTAATTCAAGTTACACTTTTTGAGCGTGGTGACCTACCTATAAGAAAAAAGTATCACCGCTGTGCCGGTCGGAGTGGCGGGTGTTAGGTTATTTTCGTTACGGAATTTCTGTATTCGGTCTCCACGCTCAAGGCCCGCGATAGAAGCTATGCAATAGCTTAACAAAGAGGTTTAATGACAGATAAAAGGAATACATATTTCTGGAATTGCCTAACATATTTTGTAGTTTTTGCTCGTCTAAAACCGCTTATTTGTTTCAGAATTTCATTTTAAATTTGAAAAAAATATGTTCGTGTGAATTTTTGTTACTCTTTTTCATGAATAGTAAAGGAATCAGACATCATCATGTATCTTGTTTCGTTCATCCAATTTAATTCGCGATCGGTACAATATGTAATACTGCTAAAAGTTTTGCCTGGGTTCTTTATATGCCGATAAATAAAGGGAAAGAGAAAATACCGCCAGTATACTGAGATACTAGGACTATAGCATTAACTGGCAAAGGAATAACACATAAGGGCTTTAATATAATAATAAACTCAGATAGCTCACGCTCGGCTATCTGGTCCCAAACTAGGCTGATCCTGTATGATGACATGCATGTTTGGTGCATTGGCGGACTTAATGCCTAGGCACTCTATCAGTCAACCATTGGGTGATGTAGAGAAAACAGGAAGTAGGTGCATTTTGTATGAAATTAGTTTTGTAATATATCAAATACACATATATAAACCTATCATGCACTAGACCTATACACATTATGCATAATTACGTACGTAAACCTAAATACATCATTTAAATACATCCATACCCAAATATAGATAAATATATATATTATATATAAATTACACCTAGGCATAGAACATAGAATTGACGGCACGGATGGCGTAGAGGTTTAAGCGGTCGCCACGCCGCTTCCTACTACACCGAGTGTTATGGGTTCAAACCCCACATGGGACGACCCTTTGTGTGTTCACAAATTGTGGGTGTTCTTTGTGTCCGTTTCATGTATGTTTGTAAAGTCCTCTGCGACACAGGAATATATTTCTAATGCGGGAGTTGTCTTTTCAAATAAAAACAAAAAAGGTGAAGGTATATTTGGTAAACTTGTCTATGTAGAGACTGATCATACTAGATTTGGAATAAGTAATCATATTTTTAATATATTTTCTCTTACAGGACAAGCAGCGTCCTCCGATCTATAATCCTGAGGACTACGCGACCTCTTTAAAGAAATGGGGCAAAAAGTCAGGCGGAGTCACTTTGTATGATTTAGAAGGGGCACAAGACGGGAACAAATCTCGGACTCTACCAATCCCGACTAGTAAGGACTTCAGGTGAGTTTAACTTTTAATAATTCACTTTCAACCGCTTATAACTTCCTTAATAAAGTTTGAGTAAGTAATCTAATTCACTTTGATCACAAACAAGCACACGTCAGCTCTCTTTTCGTTGAATAAGTTAAATTTTCTGTAAAAAAAATCTGTAGACTGATAAAATTTTGCATCGCTTCTATTTTACTTTATTTAAAAAGAATTTTACCACTCAATGTTGTCTTTTTGTAGCCGGGCTGTTAAATAAACCGAAGCGATTATGAGTTCCGTGTACAACTAATATATTTGTTGAAACTTTGGTTAGCTTAAAGTACGTAAAATACATGAAAATATGTACATCAGTATTCTCACCTTACCTTCTTTAAATCATAACGTGGTAATGAGACGGTAAAAATCTAACTCCAATTTATCTATTTACAGAAATCCCTGCCTGGGTCTGGGAGAAGAAATGACATTACGCCAATTTGGAACACCGAGTGAACTCCTTACTAAACTCAGAGCTGATCTCAGACTCTCTTTTCCAAGGTATGTAGATACACATTTATTCACATCGAAGCTGACAGGTTTTTTTAGTTAAACGAACTGATGACTAGACTGAGGTTATCCATACTAATATTATAAATGCGAAAGTGTGTCTGTCTGTCTGTCTCTTTTTCTGCCTGTCACCCCTTCACGCTTAAACCGCTGAACCAATTTAGATAAATTTGGTACAGAGATCGTCCGAGTCCCGAAAAAGGACTTACGGTAGTTTTTATTACAGAAAGAGACAGAGAGTATCTCTTTCCACCTCTGTAATAAAGAGACCTTTATTACAGATGTGGAAATTTGTATGGGGAATCAATAACCGCTCAACCGATTCAGATGAAATTTGGTATAAAGATACTTTGATTCTTGAGGAAAGACATAGGCTACTTTAAAAGCTAGTACACTATATAATGTACTAGCTGACCGGTGCAACTTCGATTGCGTCTCTAAAAAGGAATCAATAATCCCCAATTTTTACAGTAGCGTACAGTTATATAGCTTTTCTCGATTAACGGGCTTACCGACTGTAATATAATTTTTTAATTCGAACCAGTAGTTCCTAAGAATAGCGCGTTCAACCAAACAAACTCTTCAGCTTTATAAGCTAGATATAGTTTGATCTTATCTACACTAATACATTATTATGTTTGAGGAGCTGATCAGTGAGTAAACGTCTGGGGAAACTTCTCGTCATAGTCGTAGAATAGTGTCGGGGCACCAGGGACTTCCTTTCTAGGGTATACCTGGTTCCCCGGCTGTTAGTACCTTGGACGGCGTGTGATTTTAGTCGGTTCGGGTCCGACATGCCACCGATACGTGGTATCCGAGGGGATTTCCGCAAGGAAAAAAAAAAAAGAAGTAGAATAGTGTCGCATATGACATTTATTAAACTTTATATTTCAAATAATTGTTAGTTTTTTTTTGACATAACTTTTTAAATTCTAACATTGTAATGTTTTATGAAAATTGGAATACAAGGGAAAAATAGGGTTTATTTTAAAATGCAATAAAAATAATAATAATTACACAATTTTCTACAAAAATTACATGCTTCATTTTACTTTGAGCGCCTATCAAACAAACACTGAATAATTGAAATCTAAAATAGTTACATATAAACTTTTCTTTCTTTTAAAAAAATTAATAATATTTAGACAGCGTAGTAGACAAATATTATGATAATAACTGAATTTCGATTTTTTTTTCAAAACCCACATTATTAACACAATATAAAATAACAGAATTTGAAAATTTCTTATACGTGTTCATCATACGTTTTTATATAATGTTGGATAATAAAATACATACGCCTCCTGGTTTAATACCGGTCAAATTAAATTATTATGTAAAGTATAATATACCACATTTTCAAGGCACGATAAGATACGATCGCAATTGACCCAAGGCGTATCTTACGAGGTAGACTGGAGGCATGAATGCTTTGTTGCGTTTGAGAGTTGAATTGAGTGATCCAACTATTGATCTCGCGGTCAGAATTGACCTTTCCTCTTTTTAACCCCTCTATTATAAGACCTATTACTAATAGGATGATCTTGGCATGGAGGTCGGTTATTGATTTGCGGTGCGTTCTGTATTAGACAGAAAAATACCTCACCTCAAGCATTTCTTTCCAAGCACCTCCATTTTAATTAGTAACTATTGTGAACACGATCACTTGTTCTGTATCGGAGTATAATTTGTCTGTAATATGTATGTATTTAGAAATATATAAGTCTACTTATGAGTAGTCTGATCCTTAACTACGCAGAGCTTGTGCGATGAGTAAAGTTATCCTTTATATTATATTTATTAACATTCTATAAAGTGTCGTTAGTGTCAACTCAACAGTCTGTTAATTATAAAATCGTCCGGCTGATATAATAACACGGTTTTCTACTACCAGAAGGCCAATTCTTGTAACAAAAGTGCGGTCACAATTCAGTTCCGATGAACTAGCGATCTCAACTGTTTAAAAACTTATTTTCGTAATAAAGTATTACTCAGACTAGCATACATTACTTATTATATTACTACTTAATTGACTTGTAGACAGGTTTTAAAGAAAACCGTAGCAGCGCGCCGCGGTATTTGGCATCAAATTGCCACTCGTGACATGTGTCGACTTATTTTATTAAGTCTTAAAGTAAAACTGAAAATCTTAATATATATAAATCTCCTGTCACGATGTTTGTCCGCGATGGACTCCTAAACTACTTAACCGATTTTAAATTAAATTGGCACACCGGGAGCAGTCTGGTACAACTTAAGAGATAGGATAGCTTAGATCTTTAATTATAGTCGCAATTTTATTTTATTGCAAATTATTGGTCTATAATTAATTGACAGTCACAATTATCTGTTAACTCCATAAGATTCTAACAGATGTCGATACTTTTCGACTGGATTGAGTAAGTAATCAATAGATGGCACTGCTATGGTAAACCGACAAACGTATCATATAAGCTACAATTCAATATCAAACGCGGGTAACACCGCGGGTCTCAGCTAGTTACATTATATATTGAACATTGTACTAATATTTCTCAATACTTGCTTTCCCAAATGTAACTAAGTTAGTAAAGATAACTAGCTGACGCGACAAGCGATGTTTTTCCATATACATTATTTAAAAAAAAAAATGTCAAAAAAATATATTTGGTGTATGAAAAATAGATGTTGGCCGATTCTCAGACTTACCCGATATGCACACAAATTTTTACGAAAATCCGTAAAGCCGTTTCGGAGGAGTTCAACCACGCACACCGTGACACGAGAATTTTATATAGTAGATAACAAAAGCTAAAAGAGTCATACATTATCGCTAAACCCATAACGTACTCGTGTACACGTTAACTAAAGGACTATGGAGTGATTATATTCTCCCATCATTATGGCTATTATCCGGTAGCCCATAAAATTACAGGAATTATGGAGGCTTTAATGTCGTATTACAATGTTGCATAATAGGCTAAGAAGGCTCGGTGAAGATAATTTACAATAGTTTACATAGGAGTAGCGTATGAATGAGTCCTCTGTGGGTGTAAATTATTGAATTATCGAAAGAGGTGATCTCCGTTGTATTATAAAACCTAAAAAAAAACAATAGATGTCATTATTGATAGAAGCAACTTTGTAATATTTGACCTTCTTCTTCTGAGTAGTAGATTCGTTACTTTAGTGTTTGTTAATCGGTATAATGAAAAAAGTATCTAGTGTAATGACTATTAAGTCTTACTTTTGATTGAATGGCAGTTACTCACAAAGCCAATATTGATTAAACAGAAACATGTTAAGGCTGTTGCTATGGTGGAGTTCTCTTTTTTATCAGAGGAAGCAAACGAGCAGACGTATCACCTGATGGTAAGTGACTACCGCAGTCCATGGACAGCTGCAACTCAAGAGTTACAAATAAGTTGCTACCTTTTGTATCCCCTCCTAGGGGAGAAGGGAACCTCCATTAACCTCACTCACTCGATGAAAGAATTAATTACTTAATACCGGTTTTCTGTGAGGCCGTGGTATCACGCCAGTCGAGCCTAGTTGTGACGAGCATGGTGCTCCCACGGTGAAGATGCTTGCTTGTATTTCGGAATTCAGCTTTATAGGCAATATCTAACCCCTTTACTGAATACGTGACGGTAATACGCTTGCCTCTATAAAAATAAAAACATATTTAATGCTACACTGCAGGCCTCTCCTTAGAAAGGAGGTTTTGGCCTACTATACCACGCTGGCCGGACAAGTTGTCCTTCTCTTTGCAGTGTTGTTGCCCGACATAGTTTGGTCCCTTAGTCGGCTCGTACGACACCCACGGGATGTACAGACGGTGCCGCTCCGTATTCTTAATCCGTCGTCAAACGGACAAGCGAATTAAAGTATATAATTTGTAAACTGGTTTAATACCTTCGAGGATATTGACATGAGTGTATGTATTTACTGAATAATTATACTTACTTGAAAAATATTAGCAGTAGTAAATATTGTTGTCTCCGTTAAGATATCATCTAAAATAAATATTTTAATTAAGTTTAAAGACAACTAATTTATGGTCGAATAAAATTTTAAATATAGAAATTTTATGGCCGAAAACAGGTCGTTACGTACAGATTCTTATCCTTTTTATATTGAATGAGCATGTCTTTATAATTTTATATACTAGCTATCGTGTCGATAATGTGCGTGTAGAAAAGACATAAAGACCAATTGCTGTATATTAATATTGTTGTTTTTATAGCTTCACCTTTCATGTTAAATACATTTTTCATACTACGAGAAAACATATTTCAACGACATCTATTGAAGGCAAAGAGAATTACTTGGTAACTAGTAATCCTGTGTCACACAATAAAAGTTCTCACTTCCTTTAATGGTTCGGCATTCATGGTCAGCTAACCTGATCTTCTCTTCTAGAGAATCTTCTGAAACACTACATCCTGTTTGACCACAATATAATTAAATTCTTGCCGATTGCCGGTACTCATAAGCATTCTCAATATTTTTGATGTCACTCTCGCCTTGGAACCAGAATTGGTGTTATTTCTCCTACCGCCTTAACCCGTAGCTAGTATTTATATATTTAAGTTTTTTAAGTTTATCTTCTATGCATAGGATGTAGGTACCTTTCAAATCAGGTAATTACAGGTAAATAACGTACTGTAACTAACAACCATTTTTTGAGATTTGAAAAAAAACCATTGAACTGGCGACACTGTTACCGTTACCGACACCTCTGTATATAAGTATCTACATATATTGGCCCCGTTTACACGAGAGATGAGCTTGGATTGAAATACATTGATAATTTAACTATATATAATATAAACATATATTGTGTATATACGTACAACCGGACAATCGGAACTTTTCAAATAAAAAAAAACAAAATATAAACTGTTAAAATAAAATAAAACAAGTTTTCACTTCTGTCGGCACTCTCAGAGTGCATTGCAGAGTTTAGTCAAGTAGGTAGGTCACCTAATGCTAACTGACTTCCGCCGTCTTCTGGTAGCCCCACTTGTTCTTCGGGTTCTGGTAGGCTCCGCTCGTTCGATAAAAAGCATCGAAAGATTTACTAGCAACCGAAATTACTAGGATTCCCGTTAACCCCTTCAGCTAAGCTAAATTACTTGTGTTAGGAGTGGGTTCACGTCGGTAGTGTACTGGTCAGGATTTGAACGCACGACCTACTTGATCGCAAGTCCAATGCCTTAACCACTTAGCCACCGCCGCTTAATTAAATAACAAATAACGCTAAATTTAATTATTTAACATCAGTTTTCTATTAGGTCGTGATATTATTTCTTTTTAAGGAGAGGCATATGTCCAGCTGTGGACTAGTAAAGGCTGTCGATGATGATGATGATTATTCCGCAGCTCCCGTGAAGCCGGCCTATTTATGCCGATGCATGACTCGACCGAGTATTGAATATACCGAAACGAACCGGTTATTCAATAAATAAAAATAGTGAGTTAATTACCAAAATTAGTTCTGTGTTTATAAACACTCATTTTTATAAACAATAATTATAATCTAAATAACTCCTTGGTCACCCTAGAAGATCGTTTCGATGTTTATCCATTGTGTCGTAAAACAATACTGTGACACGCTCCGCTTAAACCACTGAAATTATTAATCACAAGGGTCTGCTAGAACTTTCCAGACAGACCTACGTATTGTAAAGAATCTACAGATTTCTATGAACTATTATATTTCGATATTCGGCACTAGATGGCGCAGCAAGTATCGGAATTATAAATCATAATCTCAAATCTATTCAATAAAACATTGTCATGTTAAGAATCTCCTCGGTTCTCCTCCTTTATATTTAACATTATTGCTTAGATTATCTAGCCAAAGCAATGATGTTAAAGAAAAATTATCCGTATATTTCTATGTTCCTGTTAACAGTACACCACAAGATCTAATAAAAAAGTAAACATATAGAAATACCGACGTATTATTACATGTCAGTTTCGTCGCTTACTCTTCGAGCGGTTAAAGCTGTGTACGCCCAGTAAAATAAATATTTAGGTTCAGAAAATGCTAGACCAAATAAATTATAACAAAAATTTCTAAACTCTACAACAAAAACAGCCTTACTCGTATTTCAGATTCCAGCAAGTTTAAAGCACTATATAGGATATTATATAAAAACGTGACACATCTTACAGAAATATAATTATTAGAAATCCTGACTTTCTGCGAACAATGTACCCCGCCTACTGCCACTTAAGTTTGGCAATTCTTCGGGAAATGTCAGTGACCTTGGTTCGTCTGCGGATCGAATCATTCCTGGTTCGAACGCGCAGAGAATTGCCCATTACCACCTTCTGGTTTTTACGGAAAGCAGTTGGGTGTGGCAACACAGGACCAGTTGTTGTGACGAACTTTGGGGGAGGTCTATGTCCAGCAGTGGACGTCTTTCGGCTAAGATCATCATCATATACTTTGATTTCTAATTACTTTAAAAAAAGGTTTGATAAAGGCTTTCAAAAAGTATAAGAATAAACTTTTGTGATTTTTTATGCATTGAAATTTTATGTAAAAATGTGTTATTTTGTTCTGCCTATTTTCTATTAACCTCAAAAATTCTAATTTTTGAGATCTAATTTATTTGAACAAATTAATTATCTAATCCTCTAGCTTTAACTCCACACATTTAACGTTTTTGTATTTCACAAAGCTGCGACGGTTCCCGCGAATTGCAATGGTAATTGTTACTATAATTATTCTTTATGACGTCAAATTATAGCCCTGGGCTCAGGCTACAGGCTAGGGTTGTCAACGTATTAGATGCGAAATTATTATAAAAATAATCAAGAAAAAAAAATGTGTACTTAAATTTTTCCCCCTCCCTATTACTTGGGGGTTGTGGTCTTACAGGAAGGCAACACACTTATGACCCTTGAGTTGCAGGTGTCCATGGGCGACGGTAGTTACTTACCATCAGGTGACATGTCTGCTCGTTTGCGACCTTATACTATAAAAAAGACGTCTTGCAATGTTTTACATTGCCAACCCCAAATGCAATTGCATATTTTCAACAAAGCCTTTAATTACGAGTAGTAGCTAGTAGCTTTTTAATCTCATTATGTCACTATCATTATTCAAGTACCATTGTACTAGTATCATTATTCAAGTACCATAGTACTAGTAACTGACAGAATATGTGCGCTATTTCTGTAATAGACGTGATAAAGTTTGCCTGTGCAGTACTCAGATTTCGTTCATAACCAAATATTCTCAGTATTCAAAAATCTTAATATTTTTTTTTTCAATAGGCTGTTCATTGAGAAACAAATGATATCGCATTATGATCATTGGAGTATATTGGTTTTGTATTTTATTATAAAAGCTATTTGACAACCCTAGTGTCAGTGACATCTCTAATGGTGGCTAGGGTTGTTTTTATTTTATTTTAACAACTAAGACTTGCCCTTTAAGATGTGTCTAGAGGAAAATTATTTTCAGTGTATAATTATATTCCTTTATTTTTAGGTTTGATGTTACTTTTTGTTCTAATTTATGTTAGATACCTTATTACACCCATTTTTGTAATTATGGCAATTAAATTCTGTAGGGATAATAAACCAATACAAACATACAATTTTTGTGTTTTTTTAATAACGTGTAACACGTACATTTCAATTTTACATTTTCAAATTTCGCACGTAATTTTATGAAAACGCTTGACGAAGTTAACACCATTTTGCCTTGTGGTCATGACGTCATTTGGCTGTGTAAGCAAATACAACCAGTCAACTCTTTTTAGTTTCAATAATATATTTTTGGTTTTTTTTTTATTTAGAGTAGGTAAAATACCTTATTTTCAGGCACAGCCATTTCAAATTACAGATGTGGGTACACTCCAAAATCCATGAGTATTAGCAATATAATTTTTCTTAATACCAACAATTCAGGAGAATTGCGCGTTTCCATCTAGTAGCAATAGGCTTCCAGTAAGTAGGACTACATTAGTAGGCCCCTGCCCCTGCCTACCGCTTTGGGGATAGAGACATGTGTAAGGTATGTATGTAGCTCTCAAAACCTAGTAACAAAGGGAGGGAGGGTTTAAAGATATGAAAACTACGTCCGAGAGGGGGAAGTGTTATTTCATTGCGGTTTTCGGATACCCTAAGGATTCAAGTGTCCGTGTGGTGACGGATTAAAAATACAAATTGTCACCACCCCAATTCATCCTGTGGGTGTCGTAAGAGCCGACTAAGGGAGCAAACTAAGCAGGACAACAGCACTGCAAAGAGAAGGAAAACTTGAAACAAACCCTATACCAACCCGTCTGGCCAGCGTGGTATAGTAGGCGAAAACCTCCTTTCTAAGGAGAGGCCTATGTCCAGCAGTGGACTAGTATAGGCTGTTGATGTTGATGTGATGATGTGAAGGATTCAAGAAAGCCAATATAATAAATAGAAATAACGTAATATTATATTCACTACTAGCTGTAAACCTACGGCTTCGCATTAATATCGATTGTCAATAATGTTTCTTTTATAAAGCAAAGAATAAATAGTCTATCAATAATGTTTCTTTTATAAAGCAAAGAATAAATAGTCTATGTGGTATTCCAGCCAGTCATTGCTATATTCTATCTCTGTGCCAAATTTCATTGAAATCTGTTAAGTCGTAATGGCGCGTTAGGGTTACAAATTTCCATACATCTATCCTCACAAACTTTTGTGTTTATAATAATTAAACCAGCTGACTGCGTCTCCCAAAAAGGAATGAAATTTTCTCCGTTTGCATTGATGCTTAGCTCCTATCGGTCGTAGCGAGATGTTACATAGCCATTCTCGAGAAATGGGCTTGACAACAGTACAAGAATTTTTCAATTCGAACCGTTCAACCAAACAAACAGATTCTTCAGTTTTATAATATTACATACTATAGATAACTCTTTATAACATTATTGTTGAATATAACTGTAAGTTAAGCAAATTTCGTTTCGTCACATAATGTGCTTAATAATCTCAAGTGATGATATAAAACGCTCTGCTTTATTTATTTCAGTTTCGTTCAGGAGTTCGCCTGTGAGCCGCTAGATGGAGTCACGTTACTATTAGAACTCCTGCGCAACGTACAGCTCAACCAATCCGGAGAAGGTTCGAGGGGCCCACCAGCTGTGCGAAGGCGACCACTTCTTGATGAGCTGGCTTGTCTGTGAGTACTTTCATTATAGGTAAATGGTTTAAGCAATAACTATCTAGTAGAAGATGTTTTCTAAATATTTAGTAATGAGACTAAATTTGTCTTGAAAATACATAATGTGACCATGATTATTTACCTTATTATTGTGGAATTAAGATTGAAATATTCGCATGGAAACACATATTTCGCATTACAGGTCCAATTCTCGTTCATTACAACTAGTCGGGTATCTTTGTAATTTACACATTTGTAAAACCGCAACTCATTTGTTCATATGAATATCACTTCTTTATGATATAGGAGGAAAGCAAACAGTACACAATACATGTGTCACTGACTACTAAGTTACTATTTTTTTAGGGTATAGGAGGGTAAGCGAGCAGGCAAGTCACATGACACTTGCAGTGTCACAAATGCGTGGCCGCCCTTTGTGCCCCTACCCAGAAATAAGGGTTTCGGCTTCGGAAACCTCACACACTCAGTGAAATATACATTATATTATATAAGGTCACTAAGCGACTCAAGTGTAGTGCCCCCTCTCCACAGAATGAGTTGGGGGGATTTCTTGGTCTTCGGTAACCTCACTGACTCGGTTCAAGTTATATTGGTCTTCGGAATAAATCAATAAATAGATAGATAGATACATACTTTATTTGTACACCAGGGTTTTACAGACATTATATAGTAATTAACAATAGATGTAATGTACAATATATTCAAAACTGTTGAAATTCAACCGCTAGCCATTAACATAGAGAAATACACATACGAGTATATATCTGGCCTTCAATAAACTGCATACAGATAATTCCTTTTGATTTGGTTTTATATTTTTTACTTTTTCGCAGACAATGTTTGTGGAGCTGCTGCAGTAGGTATCCTGACTGCGTACGGAGGCTAGTGGGGGGCTCCAATGGAGTATATACGCTTACAGTATGCATCATGTCTACTGTCAATAAATGCAGAGTTTTAGCCTTGCAGGTAATAACCATTACAAATATGAAAACTTTTTTAATGGTCGGAAAATTCTCCTTCAACTTCGCTATTTTAACAGTCTTCCTTAAATAATAAAGTCTGATTTTGTTTTTTTTCTTTGTTTACTTACATTAAATTGATGGCTCAGCTTATGGGGATCATATTCAGTATTATCAACAGCATATTGCACCGTTTTCACGGAATCTTCTTTCTTTATTCTGTATGTTTTTGGAACGAAGTTCCTTATCGCGCGTTGTGAAAGGGGGCTAGACGGAAAAAAAATCTCACGAAAAGTTGTAACGACACTTTTTATGTCAGTCATTCAGCGCCATCTATCGAATAGATAGGAAATCATTACTTTTCATCTCAGTATTTATTTTTAATTGTCACTTGTCAGTCATTCAGCGCCATCTATCGAATAGATAGGAAATCATTTCTCAAGGAGATTTTACCAATGTATAAATTGTTTTAATTAGAAACCAACTGAAAAATATGTAGGTAATAGCCGCTTTTATAGATGGCGTTGTAAATAAAATCGTGTCGAATCAGTTTTACTCGATCGTCACAACTTCGTTCCTATCGGATGTCCCACGACACCACACGGCTTTTTTATTGTATCAGTTTCGATCTAATAATCATATTGTGTTAAACCGTAGACTGGACATAAACTAATTTTGTATGCATCATATTAGAATTACCTACATTAAGTTTTTAATGTAGGTAATTCTAACACGATGTACATCAAATTAGGGTCTCTCAGTTTGTTCCTATAGAGATGGAAATTTATAAAAACAGTATATTTCGTACCAATTTTGACACTGCGGCTAATAATGTAAATCTCCCTCACATTAACTAAATATGACAAATCGTTCTTATTTCAGCTCTTAACAAAAGCCTGCTATCCACCGGCAAACGGTCACAGCATAGTATCTGAAGCTCTCTCAACCCTCCGCCTTCGCTACGGAGAACCAGTTCGCTTCAGGTTCCTTGTAGGAATGCTGCAAAGTGCTGGTGGTACTGGTGACCTGCAAGCAGCTGGGCTAAGCTTCATCAATGCGCTTCTCAGTAGTGCTCCCACCCCGCAGAGGAAATTGTACATACAAGCTGAATTGGAGCAGGCTGGATTTGACATTGTTACTTTGAAAAAGGTCTGATTTTCTAATATTTATAAAATACTGTTGACCGTGACTTCCTCCGTGTGGTGGTCGACGTGTCGACATCAGACATCTTAGTAATTATACTGAGAGTTTCGAATCCATAAGAAAAAAAACACAAAAACTTTTTAAAGGTACTTTTTAAGGGTAATTGTTAAAACGTTTTTATTACTTTTAATATTGTAAGTTTGGAAACGCTACGACCAAAAATAACTGTTTCAAATAAATTTACAACCACCATTTTGCATCCTTTGGGATGAAAAAAAAACATTTAAGTGCACACCTACGTCACTTATGGAACTAAATTTCTAGACCCAGTGGTTTTAGCTGTGCGTTGATCGATCAGTCAGTGAATCACTCTGTCAGTTTCATCTTTTATAGATATAGATTGGTTTGAATATGTTTTGAATTATTTTAATTTATTCCATTAGTAAATGAAAATCTTACTTTTCATTTACTAATGTCAAGTCGGAGAATAGCATAATTGGACCAGGATCGAGTTTTCTTCATGAAACCTTAAAACTGTACATTCTATTGAGACTAGAATGGACTAACAACTGCTAGAGTCATCGTCACTTTGTACCGCACAATCTTACAATATTATTTAAATTAAAAAAAGACGTGTGGCACTCGGGGACTGCCGCGGTAAAGCTATTGCATAGCATTTTTTATCAACTTATGCAATTGTAATTATTTATTTATTTTATTAATACCTATCACCATTTCAAAATGAATCCATCCAAAGGTTGCCTGGAAGAAATTTCACTAAGCGATAAGGCCGCCCTTTGTACATTACATCGGTCGTTAATTACTGTATAATGTCTGTAAAACTGTAAACAAATAAAGTATTTATCTATCTATCTATCTATCTATTTCTTTCGTTGATATTAATTCAAGTTACACTTTTTGAGCGTGGTGATCGATAAGAAAACATTTTTTTTTTTTTATTCAATAAATGAGAAGTTAATATTGTTCAAAATATTTTTATTATCTTACAATACATGTAGGTTATTCAGGAATATTTATCATTGGAATTATAGGTTTATGGTAACTGAAACAAGAAACATAAGTTTGAGACTTGATATCTTCTAAATATCTGGAAAATACCGCGTCACAACCAATGCCACCTAGAGGCGAGTTGCTAAACTAAAGAGACAAGCGTGATATTTCAAAAAGTCATTAAAAGTTCTGCTATTCATCGATAGATGGCAAAACTAAAAAGTATCACCGCTGTGCCGGTCGGAGTGGTGGGTGTTAGGTTATTTTCGTTACGGAATTTCTGGATTCGGTCTCCACGCTCAAGGCCCGCGATAGAAGCTATACAATAGCTTAAAAAACTACAGTCAAATTGAGAACTTCCTCTTTTGTGTTTTTGAAGTCAGTTAAAAAATATTATCAGACTGTAAAAATAACGAATCTACTTTATTTAAACTTATTTAATTAATTATAACTAAAAGTCTCCAAACTGATCCACAATTTCGTTTTTGATTTTATATTTACTAGTCTGCTATTAATTCAATACTGATTAATTTAATTATGTATTACAACATTTAATTATAGCTTAATTGTTTTCTAGATGGTAGCCAAACTGCCAAAAGCCAATGAGAACGTGACGATTGGGATAGCAGAGTACGAAAAACAGTTGATAGACATCGACTCACTAAGTGAGAAGGCCCATGAGGCGCAAATGGAGAAGGACGATCTTAGAAACAAACTTGACCTGCTTGAAAAGAGAGTCAAGGTATTTACAATAAACGAAGTCATCTTTCTGTAATGTTTTTCTACCAGTTAATGTTATTACAATTTACCATTCTTCAATTTTATAGATTCTACAAGAAGAGAAGGGAATCCTCCTGTCTCTAGAAAAGTGTCTGAAAGAAAAATGTTGTGAACTACAAGAGGAGGTTTCTTCTCTGCGTTCGGAGCACGGCAACTCTAATAGAAAGAAGCCATTTTCCATGAAGAAAAAAAACTCAGTACTCAAAAGTAGAGGTAAAATTAAAATAAATGTTCTCCTATCTGCTATGTGAAATCTTAATTAAAAGCATGTTTTATTAATTGGGGATTCCAATTTCAAAATGGTTATTCAGACTTGGTTATTTGCGTTTAAAACCTATTCGTATATGTGCATATAGGATTTAATTATCATCATCATCTCAGCCGAAATACGTCTAATCAAAACAGAATATTAAATAATCAATAAACTTTTCTATTTTTTTAGATGAATCATCACCGCCAGAAGACGAAGGCATTAGCTCTTCAGAAAGATCTTTAAGTCCTGAAGGTGATCCTCAAAGAGAATCTATGGTCTATGAAATGTTCAACGTCAAAAATGAAACATATGACCTCATGCGCAATAAACGGCCGCTACACAAAAAACTGGAACACAAAAAGAACGACAAAAAATCGTCTGATGAAGAAGATGAAACAACGATAGATGAAGTCATTCAAGAACTAAGAAATATTGCTAACCATGCTGAATCTGAACAGTACGTTAAAGACAGTTTCATTGAAAACCGGTCATCTAGGTGCAATCAAACTTCAGAGATTAATGTACCTCTAGAATGCAAAAAGCATAGAGAAGAAAAAGAAGACTCTATAACTAGCACAAGGCACAGTATACAGATAAAAAGCAAAGAGGATTATGCAGATGATAGCGTAGAAGATGATGAGGAATCGGAAATAGTTCCAACTAAAATTGTTCCACACCCACCCAGAAAGTCACAGAGCCTGCTTCATTTATTCGTTCCCCCTGCAGACCAGGGTTTGTTATACAAACCGCCTGACTTATTCGATGACAATTTCTATTCAAGTGATGAAGGGTCGGACTCTCTGTTAAGCGCTTCTAAATTTAATACAAAAAATTCCAACCAAAAGGTGTGCAAACAGCCTTCAGGCTCGAGTTTCGACTTTCACGAATGCCGAGCTGTATTTAATGCAAAAAATAAAGATGATAGTAGACCCAAACGTTCTAGAACTCGCTCCCGAGAAGACACTAGAAAGACATCTATAAAACGAAGTGAATCTTTCCAAACATCTGAAAAAGGTTCCCGTCAACGGGAATATATTGATAGTATGTTTTTCGGAGAAAGTCACTCGTCTTTGGGTGGAAAAGTTCCAATACAAAGATCAAACTCGAAATGTAGTCGAGTCGATGAAATAGTGAACTTGATTGAATCTAAAAAGCTGACAAAAAGTTTGGACAGAATTGATGAAGGCCTTAACTCAATGGTGGATATTGTAATGCTAACAGAGCCCAAAAAACCAATGTGGCCGTACGAAAGACGACAAAGATCTTGCTCCAGAACTAGTAGTGACACAGGAAACGAGAGTCCTCTGATACCTATCACAAGGTCAAATAGCAAACTATGTAATAACATTCGCTACGAATCCAGAACATGTCCCAAAGACGATCCAATATTCCGAATTGATGGACAAACATTTTACAAGTCCCAGGCCAAATTAAGCCCTGGACTTGACAATAAACCTTTTAATAGTTCCACGTTTCTAGTTAAACGTGGTCATAGCAATGCCGGCTTTTATTCTGGCCCTCATATGTTAAGGGATGCTCCTGCTAGCATGACTAGTCTTGTCGTTAATGGTACACATAGTCATGCTGATCTGAAAAGAACTCTATCTCCGATGGGGTCGTCTTCAGGCAAATATGGAGCCCACAAAGTACTAGATATGCCTTCTGGATTGTACTAATGTGTACTTTTTTTATATGTTATTCAGAACCAACGACTAATTTAAGGTTTCGTAGGTACCTAATTATTTTGACTAGTGCAATATAGCCCTTTAGGAAGAATAGCGTATTATTGATCTAGTTAAATTTGTAGTTAATAAAACATTATCTTTTCGTAACATTCCCGTTTTGACTTTAATGGTTATGCAACGTTTTCAGCTCTGAAGATATGTTAGATAAATATCCCAAAACTATGAGGAGTCAGCTCCTAAAATTAATTTATTTTATTTGATGTTTAATTATTTATTGTTTAGTATCTTGGTAATTTTGTTGTCTAGCAAAATTGTCTTAAGATCACAGTGTTACTGCAGCCAAGTCTACATTTTATCTTAAAAATATATCCTGCAAGGTTCTTTCTGCAATGTCACGTACGTAACTTTGCAACTAAGCAATACTATTTATAAAAAATAAAATTCGAACTCACGAGTCACAGAATATACTTGCATGTGGTTTAGAGAATGCGATTGCTAAATTATTCTTACATAAGTGATTGTGCAGAGTTTCATAAAGATGAGTCACTTATGAATGACTTAGTACCTCATTTTAATCTTTTAGTTATTAAGTTCGAATTAACTAAAAGATGCCCCACAAATGGGTCCACTGCCAAGTTATTTACCCATTGTAAATATTATTGTTATTCAATTAAGAGTAAGTTTACTTGTGCTTACATTATACTGAATAAAATATACATTACATATTGTCCGACTTTTATTCCGAGATAAAATAAATTTTACCATTTATAACACTTTGTAAGTAAACATTATATAAATAATTAGGTAATATAACAATTCGAGTTATATCACTATTATACGTATTATCAACAACCAAGAAAAATAAAAAAAATGTTGTAAATTCCTTATTGTTTTTTTATAGTATATCAGCAAACGGATGGCGTAGTGTTTTAAGCGGTCGCCACGCCGCTTCCTACAACGCCGAGTGATGTGGGTTTAAACCCCACATGGGACAACACTTTATGTGATCCACAAATTGTTGTTCTGAGTCTGGGTGTACTTTGTGTCCGTTTCATGTATGTTTGTAAAGTCCCCCGCGACACAGGATTTATTCCTAGTGCGGGAGTTGTCTTTTAAAAAAAAAAAGGCAAAACAATATTATTAAATTATATATTTAATGATGCCTCTGTATATATTTGATTGCCGTTTTTTCTCATAAGGCTTGACGCCTTGGTGCGGTTGTTAATTGGTACAGGCAAATAATATACTAACTTCCTATTGCTAAATATTTAACAAAACATATTGTTATTTTTGTGTGTGTTGATCTATGATTTTATAGTCTAAGACAATTTCAAATACTTTTTTTATGAATAACATGAATAACACTTATGGTAAATGACTACATAATGACACCGGTTTTCTGTAACTCCATAACTTCTGTAACTCCTGTCAAGCCGGCCCATTTGTGCCGAAGCATGACTCACCAACGGTAATTATACTAAGTTAGACTGAATAAGCTACTAAGTATTCTGGAAATAACAGTGAAATCACAGTGCATAAGTCCAATTATTTCATCATATGATTATGGTTTGGTAATTATGATTATGATTTAGTAATAATATCCATGTCTACAACCAACCGTCTGGCCATCGTGGTATAGTAGGCCGAAACCTCCTTTCTAAGTAGAGGCCTATGTCCAATCGTGGACTATTTAAGGCTGTTGATGATGATGATGATATCCATCCCGTGGCTGATAAGATATGATGTTCTAAATACTTTGAAAATGTTCACGAAAGCTTGAACCAAACCCTATACCAACCCGTCTGGCCAGCGTGGTATAGTAGGCCAAAACTTCCTTTCTAAGGAGAGGCCTATGTACAGCAGTGGACTAGTATAGGCTGTTGATGATTGATGATTGGTCAGACAGCTTTTCCATATAGAACTAATCCCTCTATCATCACAGCTTATTACTAATAATATTCATTCAATAAGAAAGTTAAAAGTAAAATAAAGCTTAATAATGAATGAACGTATTAGATTTATTTTGTACTAATCGATGCAATAAAAACGCCTATATACTCGTAATTCAGAGGTTTGTAGTATCCTCTAAATAAGTGTGTGGTCTATTTACCAGGCGTTTGGGAGCGAACTTATAGAGTGTAAACCTAATGAAATTTCCAATAATCTTGTATATCGTATGTATATCTTAACAATAAATATTGGAAAATTTAAATGAGGGACTGGCAATACAAGTAATTTGATGGACAAAATGTCACTATAAATCAAAGCGAAGCTCAATATCACTAAATGTCACTAAAGAACAATGGCAGAAACATATTTACCTGAAACTGAAGCGTTTAAAAAAAGACCAACAGTAAACTTACTAAATATTTTTTCTATGATTTATCATTATACCGCCATGTGTTGTATAAGTCTAATAAGAGATTGGATATTTTTAAAGATTTTATTTGACCTAAGTACGTAATTTCAGAATCGCCATCACGAACTGACTAGGGATGCGTGATGACATTATTATATTATGGAACGTTTTATCGATAATCGATTGTTATAACTTTGGCTTGAAATATCTATCGAAGGTTCACCTATGATGAATTTAGAATATTTTAGACTCTTTTAAAAAGATTTTTGCTACACCAAAATAAATAGAATATAGTTACGTTATTTTCCTACAGAAAAACAAAATATACTGCTTAGTGTGATGAGAAAAAGACATTTTAGGTTGATAACGGCACATAAATAGACATACATCGATATTTTTAAAATGTCGATACGTCGTCATCGCACTTACTAGTCTTGTCGTTTGACACTTAAATGGGTGAAGAAAGGAAGGGTATTTGCTTCTGAGGGCGCAGGCACGACTCCTGCAGGCCCGACCGGCAAGGTGCTTCAGGTGCCTGTCGGTGGGTCACGTAGGGGTGCACTGCACGGCGGAGGCCACCGTAGGTGACCGATGCTTCCGCTGTGGCCAGCCCGGTCACAAGGCGGGTGGCTGCAACGCTCCGCTGCGTTGCTTTAGGTGCGCAGCGGGGGGCAAGCCTGCCGACCACCGGGTTGGTGGTAAGGCCTGTGCCCTATCGCGACCGAAGCCGGGAGGCCGACCTTCCGCCTCCGAGCCGCTGATCCAGACGGAGAGTGCCGCTGGACAGCCGCAAAGCTCGCTGCGGGATGCGGGGATGGAAGTCCAGTGATGGATCCACATCTCCGCATCCTCCAGGTGAACGTAGGCCACGGTGCCGATGCTCAGGATCTTCTGCTCCAGAGCATGGCACAGTGGTCCATCAACATCGCCGCTATCGCCGAGCCATATGTCCATCGGTTTCTCGGGCCTGCCTGGGAGACCGACTTGGACGGCACGGCGGCCCTGGTGCACGGTACCGCAGCCGGCACTCCACCTCTTGCAGTAGTTGCAAGGGGACGGGGCTGTGTAGCGGCGATAGTTGGAGATATAGCGGTCGTGGCCGCTTATTTCACGCCGAACCGAAACCTAACTGAGTACGAGCAATGGCTCGCTCAGCTGGCCGTCGTCGTCGATGCCTGTCGCCCCCACCCGGTTCTTGTGCTGGGGGACTTCAACGCCTGGTCGCAGGCTTGGGGTTCCCTGCGCACGAACCCGAGGGGCAGGGCATTGGAGAACTGGGCTGAAAGATTCGGCCTAGTTCTCCTAAACCGGGGGGCCGTGGCCACGTTCGTGACGGCGAGGGGTAGTTCGATCGTGGACATCTCGTTCGCATGCCCCTCGCTAGCGCGTCGTGTCCAAGGCTGGCGCGTCGTTGTCGGGGAGGAGACAGGTTCGGATCACCGATATATTCGGTTTGACGTCTCCGCCCCTACAGATGGCGCGCCGGTCAGACCGGCACCACCTGAACCACGTTGGGCGCTCAAGCGCTTAGATCGCGACCTCCTCCTGGAAGCCGCCATCGTACAGGCCTGGGCTCCTGCGCCGGACAGGCCTGTCGACGTCGATGCTGAGGCACAGTGGTTCCGGGAGGCCATGACCCGCGTCTGCGATGCGGCGATGCCTAGGGCTCAGCCCAATACTGCGAGGCGCCAGGTCTACTGGTGGTCGCCGGAGATCGCACGGCTGCGTCAAGCCTGCGTGACCGCGCGCCGCCAGTGGTCCAGGTTCCGCAGGAGGCGTCGCCGCCCCGAAGATGCGGCAGCGAGAGAGGCGGAGCTGTTAGCGGGTTACAGGGTTGCCAAGAGGACCCTTCAGGCAGCGATAAAGCGGGCCAAGAGCGAGGCCCGCCGCGAGATGCTGGAGACACTGGAGCGGGATCCGTGGGGACGCCCCTACCGTATGGTTAGGGGCAAGATGCGCCCATGGGCCCCGCCGCTCACACGGTGTCTTCAGCCAGAGCTGCTTGAGAGGGTCGTTGGCTCCCTGTTCCCAACGCGAGTGGTGGAGCATACTCCGCCACAGATGGCTTCGCCTCCGGCGCTTGAGGCGCCTAACGTGGATGACGACGACGTGCCTGAGGTCACTGGGGTGGAACTAAGGGTGGCGGTGTTACGGCTTAAAGCCAAAAACACCGCCCCGGGACCCGATGGCATTCCTGGCCGAGCGTGGGTCCTGGCCTTAGTCGACGAGGCTCTCGAGCCCCGACTGCGAGGGTTCTTCAGCGCATGCCTCGAGCGGGGCCAGTTTCCGAAATTGTGGAGGACGGGGAAACTGGTCCTCATCCGAAAGGAGGGGCGCCCGGCGGACTCACCGTCCGCCTACCGGCCCATAGTGTTGCTTGACGAGGTGTGCAAGCTCTTTGAAAGAGTGATTGCAAGGCGCCTCGTCAAGCATCTCGTGATGGTTGGGCCGGATCTGGCGGACAACCAGTACGGTTTCCGTCAGGGGCGCTCCACCGTGGATGCGATCATGCGCGTGAAGGCTCTGGCGGAGGAAGCAGTCTCCCGGGGCGAAGTGGTGTTGGCGGTGTCCTTGGACATCGCCAACGCGTTCAACACTATGCCCTGGAGCTGCATCAGGGAGGCGCTCGTGTATCACGAAGTGCCTCTCTACCTCCGCCGCATAGTCGGGGCATATTTGTCGGAGAGAGCCGTCGTCTACCCCAGTAGGACCGGTCTCGGTAGGCGTGAAATGTCGTGCGGTGTTCCGCAGGGGTCGGTGTTAGGGCCACTCTTGTGGAACATCGGCTACGACTGGGTGCTTCGTGGTGCCTTCTTGGATGGTGTCGCCGTCGTGTGCTACGCGGACGACACACTCGTGACGGCGCGCGGCAAGACGCACCACGAGGCAACCCTGAGGGCCACGGCCGGGGTTGCCCAAGTCGTTGAGCGTATCCGGCGGCTGGGTCTCGAGGTGGCTCTGCACAAGTCCGAGGCCCTGTTCTTCCACGGGCTTCGGAGGAAGCCACCTGAGGGATCTAGCCTCACGGTAGGAGGCACTCGCATCGGCATCGAGCCCTCGATCAGGTATCTGGGGCTCGTACTCGATGGCCGATGGGACTTCGGATATCATTTCCGAGGTCTGGTCCCCAAGTTGGTTGGGGCAGCGCGTGCGTTGGCGCGGCTGCTGCCCAACATGAAGGGACCCGATGACTCCTGCCGGAGACTCTACTCGGGGGTTGTGCGGTCCATGGCCCTTTACGGGTGCCCAGTATGGGCGGGGGCCCTGAAGGCCAGCAACGTCGCGATACTGCGGCGACCGCAGCGAATGCTGGCCATCAGGATCATAAGGGGGTACCGCACGATCTCCTTCGAGGCAGCGAGTCTCCTGGCCGGAACTCCACCGTGGGACCTGGAGGCGAGAGCCCTTGCGGCACTGTATCAGTGGCGCAAGGAGGCGCAGGAGTTGGGTCGATGCCCCGAGATTCGAGAAATCGATGACCGGAAATCCCAACTCCGCCAGGTCATCATAGGGGAGTGGAGGGAACGACTCGGGCAACCGAGCGCCGGGCACGCCGTCATTGCGGCGGTAAGACCCGTTATGGAGGATTGGCTCGAGAGGCGTCACGGGACCCTCTCATACCGATTGACGCAGGTGATCACTGGGAAGGGATGTTTCGGAGATCACCTGTGTCTGATCCGCAAGGAGCCAACGCCTGAGTGCCACCACTGCGATGGCCAGACCGTGGACACGGCTCTCCACACGCTGGCAGAGTGCCCGGCGTGGGTTGAGCAGAGGCGAGACCTCGTGGCGGCCATCGGAGTGGGAGTTCTCTCGCTCGATAGCCTGATTGCGGCTATCGTGCGGAGCGAGAGTGCGTGGAACTCTGCCGTCTCCTTCTGCGAGCAAGTTATGCTCGCGAAGGAGACGGCGGAGCGGGACCGGGAGAGGTTTAGAACTCTCCCGGCCCGCCAGGCCCGGGCACGGGCCAGGCAGCGCAGGCGACTCAGGCGCCGGAGGTCGCAGAACGACCTCCGTCCTCCATAAGCGCAGGCCTGGGGGTGACAGGTGAGGCCATCTGTCACCCTAGCAGAAGCAGGCCGGGGAGGCGGCGAGCGCGTTGCGAAGCGCGCTCGCTTCCAGGGAGCACAGGGAACATGGGGTTCCCACACGGGGCGGGGGTCGTCTACTCGTCTGTAGATGACCCGAGGTATGTCGGGGCACCAGGGCCTTCCTTTCTAGGGTATACCTGGTTCCCCGGCTATTAGTACCCGGCGAAGGCGTGCGGTTTTAGTCGGTTCGAGTCCGACATGCCACCGACAGGTGGTATCCGAGGGGATTTCCGCACGGAAAAAAAAAAAAAAAAAAAAAAAAAAAAAGGGTATTTGCTTGGCATGTATTGGTAAACAATAGAAAAAAATCTTCGCTTACATAGCAGGTGTAATACTAGCTATAAATAAATAAATTATTAATAATAATTTGAATAAATGTACTTCAATACACATTTACACAAGGCGGAGGAGCATTTATTTATTTATTTAGTTATTCAACAGTCAGTAGTTGTGACATTATTTACTAATATCTAAAGCATGCATCCATTATATTTAGATTAATGCACAACATTTTAAGGCATCACATCATGCATATTGGAGTAACACGATATGAAATTAAAATTAAAATAAACATATATGAGAGTTTAATACCAAACACTAAACAAACTACAATTGCCTTTTGAGAAATGGTATGTAATTCAGAGAGTCGGCTAACACTTTCTACAAAATAGGGTTGCTTATAAGTAATTATAATGATGAATAATATTTTCGAATATATGACACACAACGCCATCTGGTTTCAAACAAAACATTGACAATATTTTAGTACTTAACCTCGAAACATTCAAAATCCAATATATTTTTTCCTAGACTTCTTTCGCTTGTATTTTTTTATGAGAATGTTCAAGAATAAATTCTCAAGGGTTATAGGCATTTTTGATATTTAAACGCTGTCATTTAAATTCAAATAAAATTATGTATGGGGACCTGCCATTGTCCTTTATGACGTTTTTATTGGGATGGAGTTGAATTATCGGTACTGCATAATTAACACATATGAATCAATTCACAGATCCAGTTTTCACACATTGTTAGGTCATGGTGATTCTAGGGTTAAAAAAGTCATAAGTTTAAGATGATGAATGAGAGACGTTCGTTCGATGAGAGATCGTTTACTGCATATAATTTAGTTTGAGTTCTGAATTTATCAAAAACTACATTGTATGTGTAAATTGAAATGCCACCTTATTTATTCATACACATGTGTTATAAACGTGTGACAAACCCATCAGAAAGAATTGTCTGATGGTTAATTTAACGTCTACGAATGTTAATTCTTATAGATTGTATATTTTTGCTATAGTTTACTTTCATCATCATCAGCAACCTTTAATAGTCCACAATTGGACATAGGCCTCTCATTAGAAAGGAGGAATTGGCCTATTATACCGCGCTGGCCAAACGGGTTGGTAAGGGGTTTGTTTCAAGTTTTCCTTCTCTTTGCTGTGCTGTTGTCCTGCGTAGTTTGCTCCCTTAGTCGGCTCTTACGACACCTTAACTTAATTAACATTACTTTACATTTTATATAATTGTCTTGCTTTAAATTTGACTTGTAGAACAAGTCAGTATGCATGTATACTACACTATACAGTATTTTTTTTACTGACGACTTTTTTCAATAGTTTGGCTGAATATGTTCTGTTAAGACAATGGGTTAGCAATTAAAAGAGGTAACTATTGGAACTTAAATTTATAAACAGCAATGGTTGAAAATTCCTTGTAAAGATGTTTATAACAAACGATATTTTTAAGGTTTCACTATAGGACTTCTTTCTATCTCTATTTTGATACCATAACTATCTTTAGATTAAAGATTTGCTATCTTATAAAATAGTTTCCTACGTCAAACTGTGAGACGTATCTCGGACCAACGATCAAAATATAAATTAAACCTTATCAGAAACAAAATATCGTATATTTGCGAATGTAATCTAAATAGCTTTACGTTAATTGCGACACACGTGCGTTGATATCTCCTAGTAAGGAGGGGGGACGGCGGGGGGACTCTCGTAACCTCACTCACGCGGTGAAAGCTATGAAAAAAATGCTTAACACCGGTTTTCTATGATACCGTCGGATCACTCGGGTCGAGCTGGCCCATGTGTGCTTAAGCATGACTCTCCTACGATAAATGGTCATAGGATATATACGTGAAACAAGCAAAAAATCTATGTGTGTATTCCGCAAATGTTATTATTCATAGGGGGATGACTGCACGGATGGCGTAGTGGAGAAAACGATCACCTCGCCCTTTGTTACTACGCTAAGTGTTGTGGGTTCGATCCCACATGGGACAACCCTTTATGTGATCCACAAATTGTTGTTCTGAGTCTGGGTGTTCTTTGTGTCCGTTTCATATATGTTTGTGAAGTTCCTCGCGACACAGGATGTATTCCTAGTGCATGAGGGTTTCACGTTAGTATAGATTGTAAAAAGTTAGTATAGATTGTATTAAAAAAATCTATACTAACCTGTCTGACCGTGGTATAGTAGAAAAAAACCTCCTTTCTAAAGAGACGCCTATGTCCAACAGTGGACTATTAAAGGCTGCTGATGTGATGTGATAGGGAGAACTATAGAACTATGGTCATCAATTATCATTCGACTAAGGTAGTAGATCTTTTCTGGTAGGACACGACCAAAAAGTTTAACATTGATGTTGTCAGTGCAAGAACTTTCATATGCTGCTTTTATATGCAATATGCTGCTCTGTGTATATTCGAAGTATGATCGACGTGTAGAAATGTACCTAATATACAATTCTACCTCTCGCTTCAGGGATAAAAAAGTGTACGTAAATATTGTGTAGGTATGTAAAAATGGAGACCGCACCGAGTCTAGTGTACAAATAAAACTTCAAAATATGTATAAACCCGTTTTATATTTCAGTCAAATTTATCCGAGATCATAGCATGTTTTCTGCATTTTTCATGCAAGCTAATAATTTTGGGAACAACAATTCTTTCGCATCAGACGCCCAGATGAAGTCATAATGATTAAAAGTATCCCTTCCAACTTTGAACAGTCCAACAGTATTGGGCAGCTTGCCTGCCAGAGTATAAATATCTCTGAAGTTAACTTCCCGGTCGTTCTCGCCGTAATGAAGGTATGTTGGCACCTTAACATTAGAAAGGTCATATTCTGGAGGGGATATCCTGCCGTACACTGCCAGGTTTCTGAGCGCGTTGTAGTTGTAACGACGGAAAGCCCTAAAGCGGATAACCTGGCCGTAATGGGCGACCTGGCGGATTGAAGCGCCGGCTGGAGCGTGAGCCAGCAATAAGGGAAGCATTGTCTGTAAAAGTAAAATGGTGTTTAAGTCACTTTTTTGGCAATAATTGGATGTAAACAAATACAAAAAAGGAGAGCTGAGCTTTAACTAAAAACTCTCAATATTCTAAATACAATTGCTCTTGGTAATAATAGCAGTTAATACTATCTTACTATTATTATGAATGAGGAAGTTTTGAGCTTAATTAATCTGTGATCTGAATCTAAATCAATCAAGGCAGAACTGTTTAACAGCTGTGTATGTAATTTGGTACAGATATAGATTATAATTTGGAATAGCAACATACGCTACTTTTTCTGCCGGCACTTTTATGCCAAATTGATAAATTTACGCAAGCTCCTGACAGATAGTACTATGTTTAACGATATCTCGATTTCTAATCAGTAACTTTAGCCTTTAATATTTCAGTTAAGTTTGTCCGTGTGGTGACGTATTAAGAATACGCATTGTCACCACAGCCAATCATCCCGTGGGTGTCGTAAGAGCCGACTAAGGGAGCAAACTAGGCAGAACAACGTCACTGCAGGGAGAAGGAAGACTTGACACAAACCCTATACATACCCGTCTGGCCAGCATGGCATAGCAGGCCAAAACTTATTTTCTAAGGAGAGGCCTATGTCCAGCAGTGGACAGTTTAAGGCTGTTGATGATTGATGATATCAGTTAAATTTATACTTACAGTGTTCACACTTTGCCCCAATATTTGGCCGATACCGAAATTGCAAACACCTTCGAAAATGGTATTAGTGCAAAGCGTGCTGTAAAACCATTGCGCAAATGCGCGGTCACCAAAAATCTCAGCGTTTCGTGTAGTGAAAGCCATATTCTGTGGAAAGAACATATTATTACATAACTAAGTTTAAATAAAGAGATGAATAGATTATAGAATCTTCAAGAGCAATATTATGTGTTGGTATCTAAGTTCTGAAGCCAATACCTACTAAGTAAACCTAATAAGTTCAAGTCTTAGTTTTCCAGCTTATTCAGCTTATTGCAGAAGATAGGAAGATTTCTAAACAGACTTATTGATGCCTAAACAGCCCTTTTTTTTGTTGACTCCTCGGGGACTGAGGAGCCAGGAGGATGTGATGATTTCGCTAAAAACCACCCCGACGGCCGGCAATCTGCCACCAGAGGTCCCTACTCTCTGTCGACGGCCGGTATCCATTACAGCTTCACAGAAAGAGACCACTGCGCCCCATCCCTTTCTGGCGGAGACAGGTCTCGTCCAATGCTTGAACAGCCCTAGTCCTCAGTAAATGGGCATTGCTACAACTGTGTGTAGTTTATGATTATCAATTTCATCACCTGGAGTGAGAGTCTTCACGCCGCGCTAGTAACACTAATCTTATGATAATGAGTGTTAACTAGCATGGGTTTTTGCTTATCATTACAGCTATACGATTATTTACCATCTTAGTTAAAATTACACTCACCTCAATAACGTTTTCGAAAGGCGCCAGACCATTGAACACAGAAAAATCATTATTGTCGAAGAAAGAAGCAGGGGCTAATCCTTGGAAAGAGATAAACTTTTCACTGTATTCTGGCCTCAAGGAGTTCAAAACTAAGAAAGTAGTTCCACCCTGTGAATGTCCAATGTAGTGAAGTTTTTCTTGTCTAGTTACTGTGAGAATGTAGTCGACAAAAGCAGGTAAATCGTAGTTGCCGATTTGATCCCAGGAAAACTCCCAAAAGTTCTGATTTAGTATGCTGTCAGGATTCATGGTTCTATGGTTTCTGGAGTAATAATTACCACGGGCGTTACCCAGCCAGACGTCATATCCAGCTTCCGCTAATGCATAACCTGGAATTAAGGCGGAGGTTTTATATAAGTATTTTTCAGGTTTTTGTTTATTTTCAAACTATTTATCGATTGCTCCAATCAAAATCAAAATCAAATCATTCGAGTTTTTTTTTATCTGATGTGTAATTTATTTAATTGTTAATTAAGTAAATATTAAATAACTGAAATATAGGAATATCCTTCTATTCAACTATGATATTTATTTCTTTTTTAAATATAACCCTTTGGACAAAATTCTAATTTATATTAACGAGTAAATAGAGTACGTGTACAGGACACGTCGTTAATGTGTTATTGCGCAGCGGTATTTTCTCGTAGGAACTTTGAAAATTGTACAAATTTCAAATTAAAATAACATTGTTTTGAATTTTGAATTAAGGGCCAATCCACAAATCAGGAAATATGAAAATCTTCAACTTCATAGGTAAAGACCTAATAATATACAAAATAATACAAAATCTATAAAATAATATAAGTAGATAAATAAATCATAGATACATATTTAATCAAAAAATCTTAATTCGATAAAATTATTATGATAACACACGACAGCAATTACTGATAACAAACACAATAACAAACCTGTGCTGAAATCTGCACTAAAACTGGTAAAAAACATATGCTATAAAGTAAAATACGAAATGTGTAATTTATTTCATTATATTTTTAAAATATACGAATATCTTTCTATTCTTATATTATTTATCTTATATTATTTTTAATTTATCATCATTCATCCGAAGATAAAAACACAAAAGATATAGCACACAAAACCGATGTAAGCTCCCTCCCAACATATTTAGCTTAGCCTAAGTTCAAAAGATAAACTCAAAAAATAACACTATTAGTTTATAAAATGATATGAAATAATATAACATATGGTTTACTCTAAAATACGACAGGGACAGGGAGGGAGGTTATTGTAGGCCCTACCTCTCCACTCTTACTCTTGAAGGGAACTGAAAGGGCGGTAACGCACTTGTGTATTCTGAGTTGGAGGTGTCGGTGGGCGGTGGAGGTCACTTACCATCAGCTGACCTGTTTACTCGTTTGTCCTCAAAAAATCCTCAAAGCCAAGTGTTGGTTAAGAAAATTAAGTTAAACATAGTATCACTAAGTAGCTATACAGGGTTACAAGAAAAATCGTGTTAGATCCGTTAAGGGCGTGGAGTACCCATCATTTCTGACTTATTTCACTATGAAACACCCTACCCTAAACCAATTTATTTTTTTATTTTTTTACTTTTTATTTTCTAATATATTTTTACACATGTAAAAATGCAATAATAATAATAATAAGATACACAAAATAAACAAAAATAAATGTAGTAGCCTAAAAATCAGCAATTTTCAATAAAAAAATTAAAAGTCGAATATCTCGAAAAAGGTTAAGTTTAGGGTAGGGTGTTTCATAGTGAAATAAGGCAGAAATAACGCCCTTAACGGATCTAGCACGATTTTTCTTGTAACCTGTATATACAGTTGTAATGTTTCGATTCAATTTATTACAGCGTGCGTGTTTTTGTTGCAGCATTGGACGACTCCAATTCATAATTAAAAATATTGTACCAAATTGATGGCAATTGAGAAGAGTGGCTGATAGTCTTTTATATGTTACTATTATGAAGTATTCTGCTATTTTTAATTCAAGAAACGATTTAGATTTTATCATATGTGTAAAATTCAACCCGTCTGGCCAGCGTGGTATGGTATAGGCCAAAACCTCCTTTCTGAGGAGAGGCCTATGTCCAGCAGTGGACTATTAAAGGCTGTTGATGATGATAATTCTAATGTGACGACACTATTCTTGTTTATGTAAATGGGACTAAAATAATAGCCAACAAAATGTGGGCGTTTGATGATAAAGATGTACGTGTATGTAAGTTATTTGGATATTTGTAAATAATATTAATTTCGAATAATAATTAGTTCTAGAATGGACGCGATTAATAGGTATTCGACCAGATTGCACTGGCTGTGGTCACAGTCGTCTTCAGGCTTCAAATTAATAATTTTTTACTACAAAACATCATGTGCGATAAAAAGATCCATCCATTACTCTGTTTTGAAAGCCTAAAGAAGCAATAAAGAATGAATCTAATAATTATTCTTTTTCATAAATCTATTCTTTGTTTTATACATTTCTTACTGCTTAATACTAAAGAAGATATGAAGGAAAAAATTGTCCCCAGTTTATTAAACTAAGGTTATTAATTCTTAACGTATACCAAACTTACCCAAGGCAGTGCCGGGACCTAATACCAGAAAGTCAGCAGAAGAAGATAAGAGTCCATGCATCAGAAACGCGACAGGCCTGGGGCCAGGTTCATTAAAATTGTCCCTTCCTGTAGGGATCCTGTGTAGTTCCAGGATATATCCATCGGCAGTAGTCACTCGGTGTGTCTCTTGAGGATATCCATATCTTCTGATGAGACCAGGCTGTAGAAGTTTAAATTCAATAGTTATAACAATCATTGCAATTGATGGTGTAAAGCTAGTGTTTTCACTCAGTTCAGTTCAGTCAAGATCTATAAAACATTAGCTATGACTATTGTGTACCTACTATTAACATTAACAAAATCTAGAAAGCATATACAAAATCATAAAGTACATAGTAGGTAAATACTCTCATTTTGGCCAGTCATCAAGTATTTTACCAAGTATTAGCTGACTCGCGCCACTTCGTCTTCGTTCTAAAAAGGAATAAATGTTCACCGTTTTCGCAAAAAATTTCATTGATCCTCTGCTCCTATTGACGGTAGCGTGATGTTATACAGGCTATAGCTTTCCTCGATAAGTAGGCTATCCAACACTAAAAGATTTTTTAATTCGAACTAGTAGTAAAACAAATAAACAAACAAACTCTCCAGGTTTATAATATCAGTATAGATACTTTACTTTTATTTCTTTCTATGTACTTCGTTAAAAATCTAACATCATGAGGAAAACGTTGACTTACCTTACTTTACGTATTAGGACAAATAAAGAAATCAAAATTTACGAATAGTAAGTCAGCGATATTCTCCAACGTTGTCTCTACAGTAATCTTGAATCATAAATATTTCTTAGTAGGTAGTTAGAAAGTTTGGAATTTCCTGCAACTGTCAGTTTGAGTTCTAGGTCTGTGACCCTGCTCTATTCATTGGTTACACTTTAAAATCCATCCGTATCAGTAATACCTTTCCTGACCTTTCACTTTCAAGAATACTCTCAACTTGCCCCATTCAATTTCCAAAATCCTATTTTGACAGCAATAGGCTTGCTTCCTTTTGCGTTCATTAGAAAAATTTATAATCGGCAAAATGTAAGCGCTCAATATGCCACTGCCTATCCTTTCGGGGATAGAGACGCGAGAGTAAATATATATGTGTATGTATACAATCCCGAACATGAGGGACACGAAATATACTTCTATGAGCGTGCGATGCTAGGTGTTTCTCTTGTTGATAAAAATTCAAAACAAAACTATTCGTCCGAGAACTTCAGTAACCAAAATCGGCCCGCTAAAGTGGAAATGGCTCGGTCATGCCTACAGAAGGACTGATGCAGACTGCCCAAGACCGGGACAGTTGGTGTTCCTTGGTTCCTTGGGTGTTTGATGATGATGAAGATTAGCATGTGAACTTACCACATCCAGCTGAGAATCTGCTTCAATGTCAGTAGATACCCGCAAAGCAGGTTGAGATTGCAGAAGTTCTTTCACATAATCTGCATTAGGAGATTTTCTGGCTGATGCCAGAGCTATAAGCCCTAACAGTGTAATCACCTTTACCTTCATTCTGGGAACGTAATCAGACTGTTTTCAGAGTAATTTATATAGAAAATTTATATCATACTTTATCAATAAACCGCAATGTAGTGCGTAATCGCGATGATATACTGATATAAAGATTCTGATTTGGTCTTTTAGTAATCTTTTAATAATAAAGAGATAACATTTACCTTTCAATTTATGACGAGTTCAGGTGTTAATGTCCCTTTAATTCAAGGGCAGGACCATCCGGTAATATTCGACTTTAAAACTTTTTGCACGACTCACGATCGTCATACATCAACAGCCTTTGATAGTCCACTGTTGGACGTATGCCTCTCCTTGGAAAGGAGGTTTTGGCCTACTATACCACGCTGGCCAGACGGGTTGGTATAGGGTTTGTTTCAAGTTTTCCTTGTCTTTGAAGTGCTGTTGTTCTGCGTAGTTTGTTCCCTTTGGATGAATTGGGGTGGTGACACTTTGTATTCTTAATCCATCACCACACGGACACCACCACACGTCAGATATTACGTAAAATAAATTATCTTTACTGGATATTTGAAACATGTTTATTACATATGTGGATATCGAATAAATACATTCGATTGGAATTATTTTTTTATAATCTAACAGTCAGAAAGCTATACTTGGCAGCGTCTGCTTTCCCTATATAAGCACAATAGTCTGTTTGAATAGAAGAATCACGAAAAAAGTTTCCCCGCCATGTAATTTAATGATATATAAACCTTAAATAAATGATAATTAATCTATATTATAAACGGTTGTGATGAAGTGGAAAATCTTGGGAACGCATAAGCTAAGAGCATGTGGTGTATTCGTCGTCGTCTCGACGGAAATCCCCAGGCACGTTACTCTGTGGAGGACCCGAAAAATGTGATTTCAATAGCCTCCAAACCGAATCCAAGCCCCGCCTAACCAGGTCTATAGCGAGGAAAGCTGCAAGCTTCAGTACCTATTAGAGTTGTTAACAACTTAAACCAAACCAAATTAAAACACATATTTGTTAAATATTTCAGTATAGTATAGTGTAAAACTACAAATATATTGTTCTGTAAAAACCCTTACTGCAAGGTGAAACCCGACCATCCTTGCGACGGATTACGAACACAGAGTGAACCATCCATATTCATTTCATGGGGGCGTAAGAGTCAACAGCAAATACTGCAAAGAAAAGAAAAGGAAAACTTGAAACAAACCATACACTCACCCGTCTGGCCAGCGTGGCATAGTAGGCTAAAACTTCGTTTCTGAGGAAATGCCTACATCCGCCAGTGAATAATTAAAGGCCTATGATGTGACTTCGCTAATATACCAGTCTTAGCATTCTATTTTAGTACTTGCAAAACTAATTTCCTATTATGACTACTGACATACACACTCCTACATTTTACCTACCATAATTTTAGTCCCACTAACATAAGCCAAGGCAAGCCTGCAACCGTCAGCCGGGCACTTTAAGAACCAAGATGGGAAAAATATTACAAGGAAAAGTAGATAAGTAAATAGATAAGATGATTAATCAAATTATTATTTTTGATCTAGTGGTTAGTGACCCTGACCAGAGGTCTAGGCTAGGCTAATCCAGAGGTCGTGGGTTTGATTCCAACCACGACAAATATTGTGTGATGAGTACGGTCCTTTGTTCTGTGTCTGGGTGTAATCTATCTATAATATGTATGTATTTAAAAATATATAACTATGTTTATCAGCATTCTGGTTACAATGACACAGGCTTTGCCTAGTTTGGGATCTGACACCCGTTTGAAATGTGTGAAGTGCATTTTTTTTAAAGTTTACCTTTCCACCCTCTTAAAGAGAGGCCTATGTCCAACAGTGGACTGTTAAAGGCTGTTGATAATGACCCCTCTTATTTATTCTTATCTCTGAAAGCAATTACTTTAAGACGCCAACTGGTATTTTCGTTTATTGATATATTGCCTTTTGTGATTTGTTGATTGTTACAGAAAATCTCACAGAAAATCTACCAATTTGGGCGTACAAAGCTACATTTTAAATTCACCGTGCGGAACCCTCTCAATGCGATGCCAACTAGCCTTTGTCGGGTTTTATAGCAATTCACGGTATCAATAACTAATTAATAAGGATTTTATCAGGCCAACGAAATTTTGTTTTGATGATATTATAATATAGTTTGAAGAGTTTTAATCAGCTTACCTCCTTATCTGTAGTTTCTACGCAGCTTGTGACACCCAGATATGTAATTTTTTTTTACTCACATATTGTTTTATGGCATGGGGGGGGGGGGGGCAAAAGAACAGCGACCTGATAATGACCGACTACTGCCGCCCATGGACTCCTACAATTCGGGAGCCATAAATGCGTTGTCACCTTTTTATTGCGCTTACCCTAAGAGTAAGGAAGCGTTTATTCAAAAAGATTTTCTGTCTGCCCGTGATGTCACTCCGGTCGAGCAGTTGCATATGTGGCTGAACTCTTGAGATAAATGAGGAACGATATTTTTAATGGAGTTTTAGATCATTAAAGTGTTAATTAATAGTACTGTGGAGGAACGGGTGTCGTGTCCCTCCAACACAAAGGGAGGATCCTCTGACCAAGCGAGGTGATCATGCCTGGCGGGCCGCGGCCCAACGGTTGATGTTGGGAAGTTGTATATATGCTAATCGGCGAGGGAATTCTTTATATCGCGATACAGGATTAGCAATTCTTATTTTAGTAGTTACTCCGTAGTTCGGTGCGTCTTCATTAGATGGCGCTGTAGTATGTTTCTGTTTCTTTGTATGTGGGAGTCGCCACAGTACCCTGTCTATTAGTCCTTGCCCACAGATCGAATTTCCATTAGGTGAGTGACCAGCGCCACTTGCAACTTAAGAGATACAAATATTTGTCATCATCCTAACTCGTTGAGACATGATAGTTTAATTAAAAAGACTTACTTTTTAATCTGTTCTGGTAATCTGTCATGACAAATTGCATAGGTATTGGGAGTGTTCAGCTATGGTGGAAAGCAAGTTACTTTTGATTTTGTTAGCGTTGTTTTCTTTCTCAATGTAAATGTCAAAGTGAAATGATGAGGAGGGGTTAACTTCTGGAAGATTCCTGAACCGAGGATATATAGGTCCGGCTTTCTGCCACGGGAGACACTCTGCTATCTCGTGTCTTCCAACCTTAAATAGTGTTTTGATTGTCGTGTAATTTGAATTTCGTAATATGTAGTCTGTTTAAAGTACCCACACTAAGGTGGTGAGTATGTTCTTAATTCTACTTAAACCTATTTGTTTCTGGAACCTGTTTAATTATATGAGTGCTAATCCATTCGTAGGGTCCCAGATTTCGGGGTCAAGACGGTCAGTCTTAGACGGCGTGCTTGCTCTTTTGTGGCCTTCTGGTACAGACTCAAGTTTCTCGGTACCCTCTGGCAAAGCTGGTGATTGCGCGGCTCACGACGCAAGCGGACAGCCGTACCCAAGAGTTACGTACTTAAACTTATAATTGCAGATTGTTAAACTTTTATCCATATCTAATATAAATAGCCGACTCGGGCGGAAGAGGAAGTAACCTCCTGGAGGGACGACGAGGAGGCACCGAGCACCATCAGCTCGGCTCTAACGCGCACCGCTGCGGTTTTTTTTTCTTTTTCTTGTACCTACACTGTTTAATTTATTTAATTTCTAATTGTAAATGTGATCTACTTTTTCTTTGAAATATACATGTATGTATAACTGAGGTGTAAGTTGTTTTCCTCTAAAGAGTCCCATAGGTTTCCCACACGCACACACTTCTATTCTCATACAAGGCGCCCTGAGGTAATCTCTTGAATCTCTCCACTGGGTCAGCCGGTGAGTAGTCCGCCTGAGAAGAAAAGCGGCTACAAAACTAGGAATGGAATAAAATCACAATCACATCTGATATGTCATATTATTAATATTTCATATCGTCTCAGCTGTGACTAATTTACAAAACCACTGCTACTTAATTATTATTATTAAATGTCTAAATCTAAAAATAATAAAAGTAATTTTGATTGTTTTTAATGCCATATCTTTGTCTATGTCGAAATCACAATCACATGTAAAATCGTTATAACTAAAACCAATCATTTCATCAAACGAATACGATTTAAAAGTAGCTGAAACTGAAACGCTGGGGATACAAACTTAAAATTATGGCATTTGTTGCTTTTTATGTTGTATGCTACTACTAAGAAAGGATTTTCGTAAATTTTACTTCCAACGAGTTTAATTAAGGGATGAATGGTTGGATGGAATTTCGTCATTTTCAAAGTTAGAAACATCACACACATCACATCATCATCATCACATACACAACAGTCTATAATAGTCCACTGCTGGACATAGGCCCGTCCTTAGAAATGAGGTTTTGGACTACTATACCACGCTGGCCAGACGGGTTGGTAAAGCGTTTATGTCAAGTTTTCCATCTCTTTGAAGTGTTGTTGTCCTGCGTAGTTTTCTCCCCTAGTTGGCTCTTACGACACCCACGGGATGAATAGGGGTGGTGAGATTCCGTATTCTTAATCCGTCACCACACGGATAATGAAGCACGTTAGAAACAAGAAATAATACATAATCAAGCGAGGGAACCTGCGGGCAATCTTAGCTTTATTATAATAGTGCCGGGGATCAGCACATTATTGAATATTGTTTGGGTTCATATATTGCTTCTAAAACTTGACTAGACCTGTTTAAAATCGTATGTATATAGATATTTTTATCCATTGCCCGTATACAAGTGCTAAGTAACTATAAATACGATACGATACTTTCCATTTATAGCCATTCCAAGCGTTTATTTGTGTTCGTAAAACATTGCTGACACAATAACAGAAATATTAGATTCTATTAGAGCAATTTACGATCGCGTTCGATTTACTGAACAATTTACGTAAAGTTTGTGACAAACGCAAAGAACAATGGCAGAAACATATTTGCTTAAAACTCAAGCGTTTAAAAAATTGACTCACAGTAAACTTAATAAATATTTTTCTATGATTTATCATAATATGT